TTTTTTTTTTTTATTTTTTTTTTTTTTTTTTTTTTTTTTTTTTTTTTTTTTTTTTTTTTTTTTTTTTTTATTTATACGTAATATTGACAAGCATTTGAAGTGAATGTATTGTTAATGCATTATTACCAACATTAAATAATGCAATGACAGTTTGTATACCTGTAAGTTGTGTAAAGTGAGAGAGACAGCAACATTTCGATAATGTCGCGATAGCTGAGGTTTCCTAGGCTTCATGTTTTTGAACACACGTCCACGGCGAGTTGGTCGAGTTGTACCAGACAAAATTAGTTTCAGGCTTTCAAACCACCTGTTAAAATTTATTAAAAAGTGGTTTAGGGAGCGTTCAAGTATTACGTCACGCAATTTTTGGAGATTATTGACAACGTTACGTTACGTTACATGCCCCCCCCCCCTGTAACGCAACGTAACGTTTTTCTGTACCCAACAGTACGTTTCGTGACCACCCAGTGACTCTTTATACCTAAAAGTTACCATTATGTGGTGTAAAGTAGTGGAAAGTCGAAAATAATATTAACAATAAGGCGTAATTTAATCCCCGCCCCGCATCGTAACGTTTTGCAAGAGGACAAACCCCTTCCCCCCCAAAATTCGTTACGTAATACTTGAACGCTCCCTTATTATGGAGTTTATTTCTATAATATTGGGGTTTTTAATCCACTTTACTTATAACATACATATCATTGACAGACATAGACAGACATGAATGGAGTAATTTGTGTATTTATTAACGTACCTAAGCGTGCTGCCATATAAAAGTAGAACCGGTCCATCATCCTCCATCGGCTTCGTGTCCATACTTAAGTGCAGATCCAAACCTTGTGAGCGAAATGCTCTATATGAGTCATGTTCCTGAAAAAACACAAAATATTTGTATATAAAGCGAGAGCTCACGTTTGCGATGTATATATATTACATTTTATTAATCACCATGATAATCTTCTATTTGATCTAGAACTAAAAAGTAAAATATTTGAGTGCTTCTTGATCGAGACAAGAGAATAACAGTACAAATTAATGAATACTTATAGAAAATCAATGGATTTGTAATATGATGAGTATTTTCTGATAATAAAACTATAGTTTCAACCTGGTTACTAGAATATTCTGGTAGTCTTGTTGGCGCACAAGGAGCTACGGCGTGATGGTCCCGTGGGTCACCCACACACTGCCAACCCAGTTTGATACTGAGCCGCAATCCGGGAACACGTAATACACGACAATCATCATATTTGCTGGCAGTACGAACGAAGACCTTTAGCTCACCCAGGAATCCTAACTTGCCTGTAACCGTAGATAACAACTTTAATAACAAATATCAACCATGTTATGGGGCACAGCCTTAGTACATGGAGACCAAAAGTAAAAACACACGTGCAATTTACACGTGGTATAAGTGAAAATCGAAAAAGCGACAGTAAAAGAGACAGATGCATAAAGTCATAAGATTTAACGTGGGAGAAAATGAGATAGGAAGCATTATACAGTGTACCAACTTTAAATTAGTGTGTATTTGATAATTTTCTGAATTAATTTAATTATGCATAGATGTGCAAAACAATTAAATAAGAGATTAAATTAATTCAATTATAAAATTAGATGAAATTTATCAATTTTATTAACATGTAATTAATTATAAAACTTATTGAAATGAAAACCAATTTAAAGTTTTTACTGTCGCGTTTTCGATTCATGGACTTTCAAATCTCAACGATGCTAAAGAAGTTTTCACTTCAACAACTTAAAAAACACAATAATAACATTATAAGCACACAAATTTATTCTTATATAGTAACCAAATTTAAAATAACCATACTATGGTTAGAAGATTTCGGCTAATCGACTTGTATCCAGTTCCGATAAATAGATTTTTTTTTTTTAACTTATAATAAGTAAGAGTACATATAAATAATTGAGCGAAATTAAGTTATCACACCAAGTAAATGAATGTTTAATAAAATATAAGTACCATTGGTCCAGTCTAACACCAAGTCACTCCAAGTAACCTCCATCTCTTCTGTAGTGTTATAAGGGTCTAGGGAGACGTGGAGTAGACACGTAAATTTACTGCAGTTGAGAGTGAGTCGTCCGTGGAAAAGAAGACGCACTTTATCCCACCAAGTCAAAGGTGCGGATGGATCCAAGGACGGACGGGAAACTTGGTCGAAGGCTAACAATAAAAAAAATCTTTATTAGACTCCTGGTAATTCTGTCGAAAAACTCTTTCCTAAACAGAAAAATTTAAACATTGATGTCATTTTACTAGCCCCGCACGTTGATATTGCGATGGAACCTTGTCACAAAAACAGCTGCGTGACGTCATCCACGGCAGAAAAGTACAGACAACAAAAAAGTTAATAATAATAAGATTCATTTATTTGCTTGAATGTAGGTGAACAATCTGTATCGGTAATCTTCTTTTCGTGTAATTTGGTGCCACTTTTGGTGAAAAAAGTTTATAATCTAGGGTTATATTATAGGTATTTATTTTATATTATAGTATAGATATATTTATATAATTACAAATATTTCCTATTAAATTTACCTACTAATATTACTTTCTTGCTCATTTTCATAGGATAAGTAAGATAACAAAACTAAACAACAAAAATAAAACAGGATAACGAAAAAAAAAGCAATAAAAAACACGAGATGTACTCAACACGCGTAAGCGCTGGCTGACCTTGCGCACGGTACTGACAGTTGACACTGACAGTTCGACTACGTCACTATGATGGCCGCCAGTCGCAATATCAACGTGCGGGACTAGTACATAACTAGCAAAGTGAAGATCACGATATCACGATGTCTCTCATTTAGTCTGTTATTTTTAGACACCTTTTGTAATATCAATATCTAAAATAAACGTGTCGTAAGTATATCAGTATCAAAATTACTCCAAATACTCTATCAAATTACAATAAACGCTATTTTTTATTAATCTGTATTTTTAATATCAGCTGATTGGAAACTCTTTTATTAACAATCAAATTTTCAAATAAACACATTATATTATACAGTAGAACCTCGATAAGTTAAAGTCCAAGGGAAACACAAAATATTTTAAGTTATAGAGGTTTTAAGTTATCAAGAACATGTTAGGTAAAGGTTAATATAGAGGTATGTATATGTTTCTATGTACCCTTGCTCCCATTTTTACTCGAATGCATCAGAAGGATGGGTTCAATAAAATACTGAAAATTAAATATGTAATCATATTTATTCACATTACTTACATTACATAAAAATAAAACAACAACTAAAGGTTTAGTCTACTTAAAAAAATCTGTGATTTTCTTTTGTTTTAAAAAATTCACTATTTCTAAATCGATTTGATTTTCAAAGACAAATAGAGAGGAGAATACATTATCTTTTATGTTGCTACACTGCTCTATAAATGATCGTACAGTTGTTAAAGCTCTTTTTGCTTCGTTGATTGATACACTTGTAGATGAAGTTTGTGGCTCGTGCAAGCAATAAATACCGAAACCATTTGTTTTGACACTCTTTCAAAATGACTCATTCACAAACAATTTTATGTTATAGAGGTTGTGGAAACATTTCTTTTAGTTACTGAGGGCCTATACAGAGATTATTTATTTAAGTTATAGAGGTTGCGTATTTTAAGTTATAGAGGTTTTGGGCTCTGATGGAAGGGAACATAGTATTTTTTGAAGTAACAGAGGTTTTTATGTTACCGAGGTTTACGTTGTCGAGGTTCTACTGTATTATTTAGTCAAAGTAACTTTACCTAAATTACAATGAGCAATAACAGGCTCCCAGCAAGGTCCGAAAGCGTAGCTATATTCCGTCATCTCGCAGCACAAATCATAATACCACTTCAGTGGCATCATGCTACGTTCTAGCTCAAACTCACCCCACGGGGCACCCTGGTCTATCACTACTGTGCGAACGGCTGAAAGACAATTAAATATATTTAAATGTATGTACGTAACATTGTGAGCATTTCACGTATGTAAGGAAAACATAATAAGCGGAATCAAATTTCTACCACATTACAAAATTATCCCCTGTAATTGTCGATGAGTAACAGTTACATGTAATTGTTACTCTCTGTAGGGGAGGAGTTGTAAGGAAAACATAATATATTTTCCTATACAAACTCTTTTTATATTTTATTTTTCTTCTTTGCCGTCTGATCGACGATGTTTAATTTGTCACTTGATTATTATGTAAGATGTTTTAATTTTTTCTTTATATTATTTTACTTTATAAAACCTAGAATATAGGCTTTAAATGTTGTTTCTTTTGTATTCACAGAGAAACGCAGTTGCGCCTTATTTATTCCCAGTACTCGTATTAGCGATTGATACTATTATATACATAATTGTATTTGAAACAATTTGTGAACCTTTATATGTCTATTTACCTCTTGGAGGAGCAGATTCTTCTGCAGCCAACATGGTGCCCCAGAGCCGCATTTCACTCATACTAAGCAATGGCTGCGGAAAGTCGCGCAGACGCAGTTGCCATAGCACCACAGATACGTTTATCATTCGGCACCAGAGAGTACTGAACTCTATGCCCTCTTCCGGCCAGGGACTGCAATAAATTAGATTAATTAAGATTAGCTTAATAATTTGAAAGGGATATTCAATAACAATATCGATGTTTGGCTCTAGATGATTGATTATAATAACTAAGTCGTGTGGCATTGTTTAAAAGTTTTCATTCACTTTCTGTCAATTGAGATTTTTTAAATCCATAGTTTAGAGGGCTTAATTACTTTAAATGAATAAACGGGTATATATTTACCACAGTTATCTTACTTTAAGCTAAACATATTCATAGCTAGTTATAAACAGCTTGTAATATAATTTCTTGAAATAATAATTTCCTATAATATGTGTGCGCAGAAAGAAGTGCTCTATCACATACATCTAAAATCTCTGCAATCTCACCTATCAGCGTCGATCTCCCTTAGCTTCTGGGTGGCATTCTGCGCTCCATGCATCGATGGGTCAGCGAGGGCCAACAACGAGAAGCCTGATAGGCAGCAGGCCACGAGGCGACTGCGGGGCGGGGGCGCAGCCCTACACCTTTGAACGTAGATCTGAGCGTCCTTTTGCCGAAGCGCGGAGTATAGTTCCTCCACTTTTCCGGCTGGGAGAAACAGGTGGGGCTTGCATAGCTCTTGCACCTAGGAAATTGAAAATATACCACTTGTAGGTATAATATAATTGTTGCGATGACATTGAATTTGATGGATTAATTGGAAATTTTTGAAGTTATACTTTTGGCGCGTTAGGAAAAAATTATGAGAGTAAATTTTAACAACTGAATATGTGTTCAAACGTCGGTAAAATTGTCTGGGCCGCTAGTTGGCGCTTGCTCTGCTTTAACGAGTGGCGTAGTGTTTTGTCAGAGTTGTGTTTATTTAAACCAAAATAATGATTACAATTCGTGAAAACGCGTTCCTAGTACATATTATATCGTTTCGATTGGAAGTGACCATTAAAATGGACAAGAAAAATGCAATTCGAAGAGGAATACGTCCCTCTAAAGCGCTCGAAGAAAATTATTATGCTAAAGTATAACTTCTAACGCGTGTACATAAGTACACACGCGTGTTTTTTTCAGGGGTAAATATTATCAGACCATTTTAGAAGGATCTGAATTTTATTCACGTTTTTTTTTTTCCTATTCTTCATCTTAAAACGCGCCCCCCCCCTTCAACCACGGGGGGGCCGGGGGGGGGGGGGGGGGGGGGGGGGGTGTAAAATGAATAATTATATGTAAAAAATTAACTTTGGCTTATTCCAATTTTGGCAACCATTTTCGCTTCTTTTATTATTTTATATCAACAACAAACAATTTATGATATAGTATAACATCGACTAATATACATTAGAGATTTTATGTCTTTCTGTGTCTTACTAAGACAGTATTTTTAGGAATTAATTAATATAAACGGTAATTTTTTCATTTATTTCAGAAGAATCAAATAATTTTTGGAACAATTTTTACTACCTTTGCATCCAACACGCGAAACCTACCAAGAAAGAGCCAGTTCTGTTATGTTCTACATGGTCACTGTCTGACTTGTCCTAGTTGTGAGTATGTCATCTAGTTGTCGAAAAAGCCAAAGTAACTCGTTTAGTTTTCCTCCCTTTCCCCTTTTCTAGGATAGGCCTTTTAAAGACTACGTAGAGCAGAATGGGTCATCGCTCATTTCAATAAGTATTTCATCGATCTAAAATATAGTGAATGACAGATATAACATTAATGTTTTAACGGCTGAACTGATTTTGAAAAATGTTTTACGTTGATTTAAACATCCAAAATAGATGGGGATTACAACAGAAATTATCCCCCCATAAACGCGACCGTTGCCGGATTTTTCCTATAAAAGTCGCGATGTCCAAAGGCGCACCCCCATATGCGACGCAAAGGCGCTGTTTTTGCGCCTATAACACGAGAGATGCAAACAGAAGTTATAAAAAAAAGGGTTAAAATCTGGTAGCTGTGAGGAGAACTAAGAGATAAAATGATCCAAGATGTGAAAAAATTCAATAGTATTGTCTTTTTGTTTAACAACTGCCCCAACGGGTATTTTAACACTTCTTTTAAAAAAACACAATTTTGAGATAGTTACCTGGATTTGTAATATTTCGAGACTTCATAGATAATTATTAGATGATCGACCAATTTATTTAGTAGTAATTGGGGGAATCCCTCATGTATTCAATTTTTGTTATAGTCGATACAACCCCCCCCCCCCCCTTTTTAATTTATCACATTGTAGAAGGATCTGCGGGAAAATAAAATTATATGTACAAAAATGCAACTTTGGCTCTATTCCTGCAACCACGCTTCTTTTAATATCACCAACAAACAAATATAGTCATCGACTATTATATATTAGTGATTTTATGTCTTTCTGTGTCTTACTAAGACAGTATTTGTAGGAATTAATATAAACGGTAATTTTTTCATTTATTTCAGAAGAATCAAATAATTTTTGGAACATTTTACTATCTTTTAATGTCTTCGAGTTCACCTTGTATTCACCTTCAAGTAACCGTAGTGTCACGAAGTTTGACTTCGAGGGCATCGCTCATTTCAATAAGTATTTCACGATCTAAAACATAGCGAAACGACAGATATAACTTAATGTTTTAACGGTAAACTATTATGTAAAATAGTTGTTTTTTCAAATGATGTTACAGTTATTCCCTCCATAACGCGTTTTTACATAACGATGCCGTATCCCATATACCGCTGTTTTTGCGCCTATAAACGGAGAGCTCTCAAGTTATATTTCTGTACTGTGAAACTGATAATGATTTGTCAAGTCCATAATTAGAATTGCGTACCTGTTTCAATTGTGTTGATATAAAATTAAACTAATTAACTTTATTAAATTCGTGTTCCTAGTTATTGAATTGTTCAAAAAAACTATTTTACGATAATACTCCTACAACGCGGTAGACCCAGACGGTCCCCGACCGAGGAATTACTGTACTATATGCTCCTAAAACGTAAAATTATCTCAATTCTAAAATATACCTTTATATGAAGATCGCTTGGCAATGGACTATCCAGCGTAAAGGATTTCTTTTTAATGCCATGCACGTGTTTTAACCATTTGAAGAGAGACACAAAATCTCCTTGAACAGCTTCAGCAAATCGGTGCTTGTATGGGAATATCACGCGGATTGATTCTATATTGACGGCCCTGCAAAACCATAATGACAAAAACTTTTTTGGTACAGCTGGAACTAAATATATAAAAATGAATAGGAAATTTGATTATACATTGGCTACAGATTCCCCGTAGAAGCGAGTGTAAAATGCTCACATTGAAAGAAAAGACCTTCCGTTATTTGACTCTACGACCTCTTATTTTCCTAAATACTATTATTATTATATTAAAGACTATTATCAAAATGACTATGAGGCCAACATCTTACAATACACTTATAACTTTTAATCCTATAAATAAAAGCTTCAACCTTCGCAATTAATTCAAAAATTAATAATAATGTGAAAATAGGTTTAAAATTTCTTACCAAACTTTGTTCCACGACAACACGAATCCGTCATTTGCCTTTCTCTCAATTCGTATATCAGGATCATCAGATACACGTTCCTGGGAGTATCCCTCTACAGTTACTATTTCGTCCCCATTCAAAATCATCTTCAAGTGACTCCAGACTATTGACAGGCCTATTTCGTGGTCATATGATATCGTCATGTCATCTAAAATTCAAAATAAAACTACAATTAAAATCTGTTATAACGACATCGAAGGAACTACTCATATTTGGTCGTAAAAACCGATAGTCGAAAAAGCCGACATTGTTAAGAACCTAATACAATAGAATTCAGCCGGGACCTTTAATTTTGGTCAATATAACCGGTATGTTGTTCTAAACGATGTCGTCGTAAACGGTTTTGACTGTTTTAAGTCCAATTAAAAATTGGCAGGTGATTTGACGTAAAATTTAAAATCTTATCTTGCAGACATCTTTTTAAGAGCGCCCTTCCCCGTCCGACGAACGGCAACGCGAGCATGGCCAAAAAGCTTGTTGTTTCATCCAGCGCAATGTCAGAACAAGAGATAGCATAGATAGATAGCGAGCCATTCATAAAAATAGCTAACAAGCAAGTGAGAACGCGATAACATGGAAAGAAAAATAGTGTGCGGAAATTTTATAAAACTTGTTTCAAGAAATACGTGTTTTTTCGTAAGCCTTAGAAGATTATGAAAAAAATGTTTTTACATTTAGAAACTCCATTACATTTGCAAGGTTTCCAAGCAAATATTTCTTTCCGGTTACAATTAATGAGTACATTATAAACGCCCAAACTTCATATAAAATTTGTGCAAAAAGGCTGATTTTTGGAGGTTTGTACTGAATTTATTTCTTAAAATTTTGATTTCGCGTTTTAATAGACACCTAGATATAGTGCACAAGATGCCTATTAGTTCAAAAGTTTCAAAGAAATATCTGTTACAACGCCATAATCACGTACGAGCGTTTGTATGAAAAGATAGACGGGTTGGCAGCTCTTAACAACGGAATAAACAAAGCCAAAACACTATCAAATTGCAATATGTATTTAAATGTTATACAGGATGTCCCAAAAGTCCAGCCGCAGTAGGATATGGCAGGTAGTAGCCGACCGCAGATATAATAACTATATATTAAATTAATCAGTTCGAAAGCTTAGTTAAAAATTACGCACCTGTAGAAAACACCATACTATTATCCTTAGATAACGCTAAACCTAAATTAGTTTCAGTCTTAAACGACACTCTCCAATCCTTCGCCATCTCTTTCTTTCGCGAAACATCAATGCTCTCTCTTCTGTCTTTAATTTCATTCCTGAACCCTCTAAACGCTCTAATAAATGTTAAAATCTTCAGATGTAAATTAGGGCTCCAATCAAACTCAACATTTTCTAAGAATTGAAAGTCGAGCAGAAGAGAATTTCGTTCGATGTTCGGTACGCGTTCAATCCTTGCTAACTTCACGTGGAAGAACGATGACGGTATTTCATCACTTCGGTGACAGTGTACGTTGCCTGCAAAAAACGTATCTTTTATAATTTGCAGGATTTGGTATAGTAGGGCAAATAAATTAGCCGGTGACAGATACCCAGTAGTTTTTACATCTAATATATAAAACTCTCGTGTCACAATGTTCGTTCCCATACTCCTCCGAAACGGCTGGACCGATTCTTATGAAATTTTATATGCATATTCAGTATGTCTGAGAATCGGCTACTACCGATCTTTCAAACCCCAAAGTGATAAGGGGTGTCCACCCCAAAAAAAAATTTTTTTTTGATATTTTTTTTTAAATTTTTTTTTTTGTGGCATTAAAAATACATGCAACCCTTAATTTTCACCCCTCTACGATCAACCTCTATTTTTTATTATAGTACATATATAGTTATTTTTATTAAATTAAAAAAAATCCTAGAAATAATATACATGGCAAAATAACGTTTGCCGGGTCAGCTTATTTTTCTTATAAAAGAATATGCGCGAACTTTATCCCAAAGTATGGCGAAATAACGTTTCGAGACTAATAGTGGTGCCCGGCAATTATATTAATAAAAATAAATATCTTTGAGTAAAGAAAGCTGAAAATATATATCATTTAATCTAATATAAGGGAGATTAGACTTTACTTAAATATAGAGGTAGACATTTTTTTACATTTTATATAATTCTGTTGACATACGCTCGAACCTGAACTGAAGAAACCGGTTTGCCTTAGACCCAAAAAAGTCGAGGGCGTGCGTCAGGCACAGAAGGCTGCAACTTGCCTATTAGATAAACAAATGATCATGAAACAGATACAGAAATTTGAGGCCCTCACCTAAAAAGGTTGTAACGCCATTGATTTATTTTATTTTTTTATATAATTCTGTTTACTGGTAAAATATTTAGGCCAACACCATTTTGCGAGATTTAAAACATCTTACAAAATTTAATACATGATTTATTATACCTTGAAACGGAATGAATTCCACCATCTTCAGTCCAGAAACCACAGCCCCCGTTTTATTTTTGCTTTTCTCAAATGTTACCGCATCGATTCTCGTCATTAAGCAAACTGTATCACTGACAATTAGGAACAGGTTAATGTGGGATAGAGCCACATTCATAGTGATTTCATGGGAAGTCTGTGTGGAGTCTGTAGATGATTGCTCTGTAAACCCTCTATATTCGTTCATACAGTCAACGAAAGTTAGTATAGATTGCGCGAGCGACGGGCTCCATTCTAATCGCAGACAGTCCATCATTGCTTCCACCTGGTAAATAAATTGAATAACTACCTCTCTACTAATATAAAAAATGTAAGCCGTCACGGGACGCCTGGCAGTAGTGAAACATCAACATTATTTTGTAAAAGTAATATGCAGAAAGGAACAGATCGTGATAGGAACTAAATAATATGTCATAATGATAAAATAAAATATTACGATTTTTTTCCAGATAACGATGACTATTTATTTAATAAACATTTATTTTCATTCAATACAAAAATTTACGAATTTATTTCAAATCGTGACTACTTAATTCGTTTAATCAGTGACTTCGGTAATAGTTATATTCAATGTTGCCTCTGAGGACGGTATTACTGTGACAATTTGTCGATATATATATACCACACGCATGCCGTGGCGACGCGTCGCCACGCTAGAAATCGGTTTTACGTAAGGCTATAGATGATTCACATCAATATTTAGGACAATATTGTTACTATAACAATAATAACATTATGGCGGTATGGCCTTATGATCGTCTGCTTAAATGAATAAATTATTATTATTATATATGCATCAATATTTGTGTGTGATCAAAAAGGTCTATACGATCGTTAATCGCTAAGTCGTCGTTGTTAATGTTTTAATGGAAATTCTTAGTGAAAATCCAATGCAAGAAGCCTAGAAATGGAGGGTTACATTATTTAGGCAAATAGGTTCTCCGTCTTGCAAACTTATTATACCTTTGACTGTCTAGGCGCATGTGAGGCCCACTTAACAAGTGCAACAGCAAGCACGTGTGAGCCCCAATGATGGGCTCGTCTCGGTGGCCCCGCCCCTCGTCCCGCCCCCGCCCAGCCGCCGTCCACTAACAGCTCCGCGCTCCATTGACGACCGCAACAGGCATACGTTTCTTCTACAGGTAGAATATGTTTTTTGTTAATTAATAAATAAATTATTTATATATCATTTATTTTATATTAACACTATTAATTTTTATTGGATTCGAAAGTTTCAAAGTATTACTTGTATTTTTTTAATAAATGATAATCAAGACATTTTTTTTAAATCTACAGCGCAATAGTATCACATTAATATTTTTTTACTGATACTTTACTCTTTTATTACCAAAATTGTATTATTATATATCTCCATACTGAATACTGCCTGAATAATTTAAACATAATTCGTAAAGATAACGGTGGTTTAATTTCCAATAAAATTACTTATCAATTTGAGTGTTGAGAAAATTCTCGCTTACCGGTTGTATCCAGCAGCTGATCAAACTTGACCTTAAGCCCACTACATCCAGCTCCGAAGGCAGCAATATCGCGGCCACATCGTATTAATACACTTCGCAACTCCGCGCAGCCTTGTAACGCGCAGCTGCGTGACATTCGGGACCACCACGCTTCAGCGTTCCATGCTGTTGGGTACAAAAATATTTTTTTACGTCAAAAATCTACTGTAAGCACGACCTGACTCCCGTATGTCCAAATCCAACACATTTTTGACATTCGGGAGTCATGCTTAGCGCTAAGTCCCGTCCCTTACCCTAAGAAAATAAGAGGTTAACTGTATATTATAAAAATATATGAAATTCCAAACCAATGGGGCATGGGACAAACACATTATGTTTATGTTAGTTTAATTTATCATTTTCTCTATCGTTAGCCGTAACAAATAATTATTGTTTCGGGATTTTGACAAAGGTTCTCTGCAAAGTTAATAATCGTGTCACAGAATAGTTTCATAATACAGTATTATATATACTGCAGTATTTTAATGATTCAAAAGTGGTATATGATAATTGACTGTTTAAGGTAATCGTGATCGTTATATATTAAAAAACGTGTGGCACTCGGGGACTGCCGCGGTAAAGCTATTGTAGATTTTTTTTTTTCAACTTATGCAATTATAATTATTTATTAATACAGTATTTTTTTTTCTATGATATTAATTCAAGTTTTTTCTTTGATTAATTAATTCAATCTACCACTCTACCAGACTCAGACTAACTCGCCTATATAGTCTGTCTCACTCTAACGCGCACCGGCTGCACCGATCTCGTCAGAGAGATGTGAATACGCAGAATGCGTTCTGTCCCGCTCTAACGCGTAAGTTTTTTTTCGTTACGGAATTTCTGGATTCGGTCTCCACGCTCGAGGCCCGCGATAGAAGCTATGCAATAGCTTAAAAATAACAATACATTATCGCTGGGAAAATACAAATCTATGAAAATCACTTACTCTTTTGTGTAAATTGTGATAACTTCATGGCCTTTGCCTTTTTTATTCTTTGCAATATACTGGAGTACCACAAAAACACGTTACTATGCTCGTATGTGACGTTCAAAGTACTGATTATGAGGTAAAGATTTAGTGTGCCTTTTTCAAGCTGCAAATAAAAAAATTATTAATAAGAAAAATAAAAAAACATTGTTAATAATAAAAAAGTTTTCACGTAATATTGTGTACTGCAGACAAAAACAATTATAACAATATTTGAATAAAAATTATAGTGATCTATTTTATTTACCTTGGCATCCAGCTTGACTTTATTTAAAAATATTAATGTACTGTCTTTGGCAGACAGCCGTAAACCGTCCGCCTGCAGAGCGACATAAACTTGGGGTAGTCTCATAACTTCTGCACCGACAGCACTAACCGCTACTGATGCTGCACTAAATCGGGAATTTACCTAACAAATATATATTTTATTACAAAAGACATTAATAAGGATTTTAAGAACAAAAAGTCTTTATTGGTTAAGAAAAAGATGCAGTTTTAAGTAAAAGTCCTTTTTTATATTTTTGTAACAATAACTCAACACCTACTATACCAATTTACCATGGCAATGCCACCTTATATTTGAGTAACAAAATATTTTAAAATACGCACGGGCCGCTTCATAAATTCTTCAAAAAGATAGACATAAAACACAGTTTGTATGAAGAATATGGAAAATAAAATCAAGAGTCGAACTATTTTATATAAATTTTCTTCCAAAGTTATTCTATCATAATCAAATATACCTGTCATATAGGTAATAATGTAAAGAAAATATAAAATGGTTAAAATCCAGAAATTTTCTTCAAAACCAACATAGTAGGTTTTTGACTGATATACAATATGAAATATAACTTCCCACTCACCAGCAAACTTTGTAAAGATACTTCAAACTTAGTCTTAGTGAGATTGTCCACACATCCAATACTTGTAGGCCCAATTTTGAGGCTTAGTATCTGAAAAAATAAAATAAAAATGAGTTCCTTTAAAAAACCGATATCAAAAACTACTACTGAATATATAATCTTCGTAATTCATCAATTAACATATTTTAAGTGTTTGTTGCAATAGCCAGGATGGCTTAGTTGGTAATAATTTCTTGGAGTGGTCTTAGGAAGGTGGATTGTCCCAAACCGGTTTAAAAAGCATCATCTACTTCGCCTACCTAAAAAAAAATTGTAAACGAGACAGAAATGTATCCTGTTCCTGCGTGTAAGCAAAAACAGACATTCTAAGGACAACAATATTTAAGAAACAAACCTTTGGAATAACAGGAGAGAGTCTAGGTATTAGTGTAGCTAGGTGATCTTCACTAGGAGGTGATGGAGCCACTAACTTGGTCTTTTTATTTCGTTGTAGAAAGTCATACAGATCATCTTGTAGCACCACTGCCGGATTACTTATCACTGTATGTATTTTCTGAAAGAGATGTAATACAAAATTTAATGAGGGGTTGAGCTAATCTCTAGGTTAGACTGATGCTACAATTACACACCCAAATCACTTCTTATGGATGTTTTATAATAGCATATGTTTAAAGAACTTATTCTTGATTAAAAACCATACAGTTGATAACATTTTGGGTCTTGTTATGTAAATTGTATTTCTTAATAGAAGCATATTTCTACAACCATAGTATGTATTAATAGTACACTACCTCTACATTTAAAGGACTGTCAGCTTTAACAGTGCCTTCCACAAGAATACTACCAGCAGCCTCTGCTAAAGCATTTCTCCCAGAAATTATTCTAGCCTTAGCATCACTAATATTAGCTGAGAAGACCAGGGCTCGAGCTGGGCCTCCAGCTGCTCCATCTGCATGAACCTCTGATGCTGTTGTATGGAGATACCAGTCATTTCCACAGTCATGTATTGTGATAGAGGCATTAAATATATGTACACCCATAAACTAAAAAAAATATGATTAAAATGAAAATATAAAAAAAAAAAAAATATTTTATCAGCATTATATATTATATTTTTTTTAAATAATATATATCTAATTCTTTTTAGCCATTTCCTTTTAAGTATTTATATTTGTCATGCCCTACTATTGGTTGAGTGGAAGTAAGTAAGATACATAACGGAAACAAAGTATACCTGTGCAAACATGATTAAACTTGGAGGCAGTTTTTTATCTCTGAATTCCAATAACGTTTGGTGTTTAAGTGAATAATGCTGATGATCTTCTATCTGCCCAGATACTTCTGTTTCCAAATTCTCTACTTGTGAGTAAGAATTTTGTTTTGAGAGGAGAGGTTTTAAAATGGTCTCTACAACTGCATTTCTTTTCTCTTCTGCATTATTTGTTACCTTTAGAGATTTTATTACAACTGAGACAAGTTTGTTGATCTCCGAGTTAAAACAACTACTACGGAATGATATTTCATCAATATGCTAAAAACATAATTCAATTAATAAAATGAAAGAAATCCTTAAATATTCTCTATGTAATAAATGCTTACAACAGAGTACCCATCCTTAGATAAGCTCACATCTCGCAAAATTAGTTTTAGTACAGCTATACTTCCAATCTTAAGTTTAATATGATATTTCCGTTTAAATAGCCATGATAGAAGTGTTGGTAACAACCTAGAAAAAATAATATATAATATTTTTATTAAATTAATAAAAAGTATTATAATTTTAGGGAATAAATGCAAAACAAACACTTAGAGCGATACTTACCACGAAACACAAGAGTAAATAATGATAAACCCCAGACATAAGATCAAAATAAAATTCATTATACTATAATTGTTTAAAATATCTCATTTATATATTGGGTAATTAAATAAAAAATATATTTTTACAATAAATTAGCATCTCGCTAATCGGCACTTTCCCGTATACACATTACAAATATTTTCTGTTTTTCATTATAATTCCAACAACATTACTATGTTAATTGTCATTTGACAAATAATGTGTGACTAATCGCTTTGCGCCTTTCAATTTTAATTTGTAGATTAACTTGTCTTTATATTATCTGTGCTATGAAGCAGTGATGCCAACTTGGGGGTTTCCCCCCAAATTTAGGGGTAATCAAGATATCCAGGTGGTTTTTTAGGGGGTACATTTTTTTAGGAGATTTATTAGGGAGTAGTTTATTCAAGTTTTTTTTTTCTCTACACACATAATAGTCTATACAATTTATATTAAGCTTCGAACGCAATCAACAAACTAAACCAAATATAAACTCCAAGAGTCCAAGCCTGGCTACAGCTTAAATATCGAAAAACAATACTTTCATGTGTAAAATTTGTTCCTTCTGACCGTATGATCAAATCATTTAACGTCAATATGTACGATTTCAAAAATGTCAGCAACAGCAAAACGATCCAGGCATCCTTCGACGAAATATTAGAAGCTTATCCCAATGACATTTAATAATATTGTGTTAGAATGAAAAAAAGGAGACATTGAAGCAATTCATTTTTTATTTTAATTCTGTCTCGTTTAACTGTAACAGAACAGATAAAAAAGAAAAGTACAATAAGCTTTAAAAAATTGTGTGAAAAGAAAATGACGAAAACGCACACACACAAACCAAGTATACAACAAAAACTTCAGGGGTTTTTGACCGGCATCTCAGGCATGAGAGTCGCAGGCTGAAGCAATTTTCTACACTGCTCATCTCATTTCTTGAATTTGTATATTTTTACGGTATGTATTCAGAAACGATTGTGTGTTTTACAGTATCAATCTATAAGATTGATTCTTTTTCGGTATCGAAGTATCACACTGCGATATTGTTGGTAGTGGGAAGGCCTCGGTCATCACGGCCTATAAAATCGGCTTTCTCCTTCGAGGTATGGGCCAGTGGTGGAACGGACGGCAGGCAGAAATTCCCTTGGACAACTTTGGCAAGAAGCCAAAAGGTTCCAGTCCCTGAAGGGGGCCCATTTCTCGCCAAATATGACAATGTGCTCGGTCTTTGACTTAACAATCTCACGTTTGAGGAACCTGGACGCTGAGTTATCTTTTTTTGAGTTCGCCAGTATTTGCATCGCAATGTGACGATGTTTCTGCCCAGTCTTGTCAGGGAGTCAGGGACTTGCCACTGACCGGCACCGCAGAGAAAGGAATGAACAGTTCCATACAAACAGCACGACAGCAACTGCATCGAAGAATCGGACTTATTTCCAACGATTCGCAAAGAAAGACCGTATCCCAATCTGCTGACCCGCAGAGCCTGGATGGATTTTGGAATTGAGCCCCCTAAATAATTTTTTAATTAGTAATTAGGTACTTACTACCTATTTTAAAATACTCATTTGCCTTATCCGGATTAAATAGCCGATAGGTGCTTAGCAATGCTTTTTTTTAAATTAATCAGCCCCTTACCGAAAATATCCTTCAAGCTTTAAATAAGAAGCGTTAATTCTGTTGTATTCGCGAAGAATTCGAATGAGAGCTGCTTAAACTCCTAGGTCTGTATATTTTGAACCTTGGTAATGAATAAGGGGCGACAAGGTTCGATCCCCGGCTGTGCACCAATGGACTTTCTTTCTTTGTGCGCATTTAACATTTGCTCAAATGGCGAAGGAAAACATCGTGAGGAAACCGACATGTCTTATACCCAAAAAGTCGACGGCGTGTGTTAGGCGCTGGAGGCTGATCACCTACTTGCCTATTAGTTTTAAAAATGATCATGAAACAGATTCAGAAATCTGAGGCCAAGACCTAGAGGTTGTAGCGCCACTGATTTATCTATTTATAAGAACGTGACACCGGCTGGAGATCTCCGATCGTACAGTGACTTCATTCTAAATTTCCTAACTCGCTGATACGCCTATGAAAGAATTCTGTACTTATTAGTGTAAGGTGTTACGTAAACGATATTTGAATACTTTCGATGCGTTGCGCATGGATCGCAAGTAAGGGATTCCATATAATGCCGGCGTATGTGCTTTATTGACTTGAGATGCAAACATAAATTTTTCATCTATAATTACACCAAGTCACAAATACCCTGAACCTCTTTCAATGTTGCGCCGTCAAGCTCATACAATGAGTTATTTTTCTGATGTATTTAATATGAAAGCAATTGCTTACAATGAGAATCATACCATTTAATAAGCACCAATCTTATCACAAGCTATTGTGAAGACAACCTTAAAGCATTAATGGATTTTGTGTCAATCTATTTTATTCAAATCAAAACAAAATGTCTGTTATTTATTGTTTTAATACTAGTATATCACTCTTGCTTCTACAATAAAACCAACATTTTCAAGGCCATGATCTCTTTGCAGTGTATCCTTCATATTTCTTCCGTGTTTTTAAACCAGAAACTATAGTTGAACTTTTTGGAAAAGCTGTTGCACCATTGAATAATGTATCTTTGTCTGAAAAAAGAAACTCATTAAGAAACAAATTAAGTATTAAAAATGTGCAACTGGAAGGAAATACATAAGAAAAGGCAGTATGGTCAAGACCAAAGTGCCCGGTGCCCTTACAGCATTGGGTAAAAAAAAAACATATTCCTTATATGGTATGTCTATACCTATAATCGAAATAAACATTATAATATAAAATAACTACCTGCAATTACTTAACCAGTTATAGTTAAGGTCGAGAACTTAATAATTAATGTAGGAACAATATTTACGTCTTATAACAATTTATCATCCAGTAAGTTTTACAGATATGATAAGATGAGAGAAGAGGTTTCTTTTTCTTGAAATGGTTTCAAAAAACTCAATAGTAATAAAATGGTGCAATTAACTTAATAGTTAATTACACCATTTTATTACTATTGAGAATGTGATTGGAACTACAATTACCTGGATGAAATCTAACATAGTCTTCTTGTACATGGAGATTTTTAGGCAGGTCCATCTTTTTGAGAGCATCAAATGGTGTTAAGACATTGACAGGTGTTTCATAAAACTCTTGCAAATCATCTGTTATCAGAAAATTATAAATTTATTTGATAAAAATTAAATATATGTATTTATATTTTTAACATATTTTATCTTAGGGTAAGTAGCTTTTAGGTTTTGAAGTAAAAACACACATACCTACTGTTTCAATAGTGTGTAGCAAAGAGTTTGGTACACCATGACCAGTTTCTTCAAAGCAGGACTTCAGAACTTTGTATTTGATTTCAAGGGAATCAAATTCTGATTTAGCATGGAGACCATAATTAGAACAGATTTTATGAACTACATTTTCAATATCAACTGGTGGGTCCCAAGGTTTGTTGGGTCGAAGAAACCTTTAATAAGAAATATTAATTAAAATTATAACCTATAACAAAATGAAAATTTAGCGATATTATGGTTAATTTGTTACCCTCTAGATGCAAGAGATTCAGCAGCTGCTTGTATTTTTTTGTCAATCTTTGGGAATTTCTTCTTTTTATGCCTTACTAATGTTAGCTGTCACAAGATAATCAGAATTTTAATACATATTTATAATAGTGCTATTATACTCATAATACACAACATTATAACATAACGGTTTACTATTTACCTGGAAATTGGTCCGAGTAGCCGAGATAATTAAATTACGCAACATAATAGGTTAATATAGTAAACCGGTATCTAATTAATAGTTTTTATTTTATTGAAGTTGTGTTTTTATTTTTAATTGCCTTAAGATATATTTCTAACCTAATAAATTAGTCATTGGGAAATCTAAAATTATGTCAGATTTATCAATTGTCAATTGACTGCTGACATGTTTTTGATGTTTTAAATTATGACGTTCCGTTTCCTTAAAAATGCGTTCTAAAATAGGAAAAATATACCCTTACTTAAAATATTTTAATATAATATGAAAAAGTTACTATTTAAAACCAATTTTAAAATTTTACAGTTATTAATAAGAAGATATTTGATTAATATTGCGATTTAATACCGTAGATAAGAATTGTAGATATTTCTGGACGAATATTCGATGTTGACTTTTTTTGTCGCTATGAGCGCTAGTGTCGGCTTGGGTTGTTGTTTCTCCATCCGCCATTTTCCAGTCGCCATTGAAAGGTGAAAACTTCACTAAATGTCGGTGATGATTTTAAGATTTTGAGTGGTTTCTTTTAGTTTGAACCTGTTTTTAGTGTTGTGATATGAAAATGAAGTGCCCTGGACTACCATGACGCACCAAAATCACCAAACAAACGGTGCTAGTCTCGAGGATTGCCACACAAACTTCTTCGCCTTGGTAAGTCACTTTTACATTGAGAAAGAAGTTGTAGGTATATTACTTTTCTTTTGAAATTATTACGTTTACAGATTAGTATTTATCGTAACGGTATTGTTATGTATTATCGGTTTAGTGAAAGGAGTGAGTTGTACATAAAATCATCAATATTATTCACGTCAAGCAAACGGTCCAATTATCGTTAAGTGATGATGTTACTCAAAATTCACCTTAATTGCTATACGGCAATGAAATCGATCAAGTGTTTCAAAGACTTCGAATGGAAGAATACAAGCATAGTTAGTAAATGACGGTCGCATGTTAGTCATCCTGGCATCGTTCTTCGAGCTGAGGAGTCATGTCGTGTTGCTAACCCATAAAATATCACCGCAATCGGCGAGCGAGGCCACCAGAAGCCCCTAGCTCATAGAGGTCATTTTGAATTCACCTGGCCGTAACGCGGACCGTAATGCGTTCGCAAGACTAGTTTCGCCAGGTCGAGGAAATAACTTTCTTACACTTACATTCTTAGTGCTGCGTTCGTTCCGATACTGCGACTTAAATTATGATAGTGGGAATGTTTATGTCGAAGAACGGTACAGTCATTCATTATCGTGGTTTTGTAGTGTTGAGTCGCTTTGCGTAACGTTGATGTAGCTGTCGCGAATGTTATCAGGTTGTATTCTGTGGTGGATTAGCGGGTGTGCGTGCGGGCGGTGGGGCGGGCCGGGGTGTGGAGGTCGCTCCTCGCTCGTCCTCGGAGCCCGGAGCAGCCCGCGCCCGGCGCCGCTTACACCTGACGCGTTGCTACATCTCAATGCTGCGGCGCGCGCCTGCACCCGTCTCCCTCCGCGTTGCCTATGAACCGGCGACACAAATTACTGATTTCTTGGCCTGTCTTCTTAGTGCCTTATTTATACATAGTATGTTGACTCGATTTTTTTTGTCAAGCGATTTTCTACCAAATATCAAACGCATCGGACGGTCGCGGGTCGGTGACGCATTGACTTACACTAGCCTGACATTGCGCCGGGTCAATACACTCGCCACTGTTGTAGATTACATTTTCGCTTTTTATTGTAAGCTTTTAATATTGAAATATTATAAAATATAAAAAAGGGTAAAAAAAGACCTGATTAAATATTTGTTAATTTAAAGAAGTAAATTTAAATATTAATTATAAGTTATATAAAACAGACATATTTTTTTAAATCTTAAAAGTAAACGCGCTCTTGGCGCGGGTGTCTACATTCATTCACCCGTTCATAAATGGTCGGCTACAGCACTTTCCCATGCCACCACAACGATAACACGCGTAAAACTGCAATTTATATTAAATTAGCGACTGCGTCTTAACTCTCGCAACTATTGTAAATCAATTATATTAATAATAATCTGCATGTTTATTATGTTTTTTGGCCATGGTTACAAGATGCTCTGAGTATTAAATACTATAAAATTAGGGAATTGATTCCCTGTCCCATTTCATGTTAGATATTGCAGGCTGCCAAGCCTTAATATTTTAGTTTACCTGAGCGATTGCGGCGATATTGTTCATGGATAGTGGCCAACCTCCACTAAGTTATTCATGCTATAAGACAACCTATTGCAATCTTGGTAGGTAGAGAGTAAATACTTTTTGCAACAAGTGTAATATTAAAATATAGGGTATTTCCAATATAAACTAGTTTGGTGTATAGACAATTATTATAAATATGTATTTAATTACTTTTAATAAATTCAAAAGTTCACTATTATGGACATCTTTGAAGTAAAACTTGGTATTTCTGCAAATTTAACTAAATCTTTATAAATATGCTCAATTTTGTTTTGTGATTAAGGTCATAGTGACCAACAAATATGTCTCTTGAATGTACTACCAGGGGCGCCAAAAACGGAGGTGTTTTAAATTCCTGGACTCCCCCCCCTGGTGAGATGTCGTGAGATTTAACAACCCCTCCCCCACCCCCAATCTCACGTGAGATTTTCAAAATGTGGGTCTTACGGATTGTTATTGAAAAAAAAAAAAAGCCGGCTTTAATACGACAAAACAAAAAGGAAGTGAGCGTTAGGTATGGAATTAGCGGGAAGTTGCAGAGATGGCCTTTTGGGTCAACCGTTTCCAAAATTTTCAACAGAAAAAAAAAATTGTCGAGACCCCCCTCCCAAGAAGAAATGAGTTTGACTTGACCCCCCCCCCCAAACCACGTAATTTATGGACGCCCCCTTAATGGAATCTTGAATTGCTGACGGAAAACTTGTTCCTTATGTAGACAAGGTAATTGTAAATGCCTGATTACTTAATGATTATAAATAAGTTATTTTATTCCAATACGTTAAGTGTAAGTCTTTTAATTTGTATACACCAATACAATTTGTTTCTTGTAATTTAGGACTTAGGTGGATAAAATTAAATGTTAAAAGACTGACATAGATAATTTGCTTTTGAGAAGAAATTAAAAACTATCATAAAAACAAATCTTTAAAAGCAAATTACTATTCATATCTTTCTAAAGCAAGTGTACACAGGTTATATGACTATGTATAGTATTATATATATAATATTTTGTAATAAATAACAATATAAATCCATGAACATAAAAACATTATTTTATCTCTCCAAACATATTCCTAAAATTTGAAAAAGCCTTAATATTGGGAGATATTTCTATTAGGAGAAAATAAAGTTTTTCAATAGGTATAATTTGAATACATAGCCATATACCATATGTGATTGTTGAGGAAACAGATTTGTATAACCTTGTTTATATTTTTATATTTAAGATTATTATACATTGGTTCACTTCAATGTATTGTAATGTAAATTACATTATCACTCTTTATTGTAGCACTCTTTTAACATGGGTTGCCTGAAAGTAATTGCTAAACGATAAGGCCTCTTATACTAATAGACCTTTAGATTTATTACTGATTTTATGATGGTTGCTTAGGCTTCTATGTAAAGAATTGTAAATAGATAAATTTAAAGTACATTTTAACAAAATGATGAGAAGATCATTGTTTAAAACATATAAACTTATTGGTATCTGTGCGCGACTGATAAGGTTGATGATAATTATTCAAATGGTTGCGGTAATTATATCTAAGACTAAGCGGTTGAATCAAAACTGTATGGCTCTCTAGCCTGTCAACTGTTTTCTACTTTTTATTAATAAATAGTTTTATACCAAATTTATTTTAAATTGTCTGATATTAAGTTACTCTGTCAAGACTGAGATATATTTGTTTCAGCTAACAATAAGTATTTTATCGCTGTTTATCAGAACTACCTAGTAGCTTCTCTGACGTGAAACCATAAAATTAACTAACAGATAACAAAATTGACATGTGAAATAGATTATGTTACATGTTGTGAAAATGTTTTTACAGAATTATTCATAAGGAATTATTATTTTATGGAAATAAATATATTTCAAGTAATGTTTTTTTATAAAAGTACTTATATCATGTTCCATCCATAATATGCCTTATTGTAAAAAGTAAACTAACAGTGACTAGTAAATTGAAAGCTGCTAAAGCTCAAAAGTTCAAAAGGAATTTAGCAAATTATGATTTGCAAACAGCTCCTAATCAAAGCGATAGTGATGTTATCATCGTGTCTTTGATCCCAAGTTGTTAGTAACATGAATAGTTTTGTTATCTGTGTCCAATCATTTCAATAACACCTAGCATTAAAACCATTATTACTTTTTCGTTTAGAATTAGAATTTAATCTTAATCCTGTGAAACCCTTATAAACATAGAAATAATTAAGTTTCGAACGTATTTTCTAATGCCCCTTAGACAAAAAATAAGTCTAATGGCACTATTTAAACAAAAATACTCCTATTTTGTTTTTCATGACAGAATAAATACAATTACATATTTAATTAATAAAAAATACTTATTTTAAACAGTGGTTATTCTACTAGGACGCATTTTTATTAATGTAACTAATTTAGTTGATTAACGATTATCACAATCTTACATCAAAGCAGTTTAATTCTTGCAAACAACTTTTTCTATTTGCTTTGAAGGATCGCAAAAGTACTCGTTTCACTCAGTTAGGACCGTCCTTCACCTACATTCTGTCCTCGCGCTTTCATAACAAACTTATTGTAAGCATTTCTGGATCAAAGTGAAACTTTCTCGAAGCTTGGAAAGCTTGGGGTGCATATGTTCATAGTATTGCTTGTGTAACATTGTACCATTGAAGTATGATTGTGTTATTATCTATATTAAAGAACGTGAAATATGTAAATTCAAAATATTATTTTGCGTTGGCTTTTTAAATACAGTAAACCCCCTTACAACACATTTTCACTATACGCGAGTTCCGTCTCTTGTATAACACGGTTATTCCCGCATTTAACTCGGGGATTTCACACGTTATATTTCTGTACTGTGACATTAAGAATTATTTGTACGCACTTTTTCGTTCATAACATAGTATTTTCATAATATTCTATAATTCCCACTTAACGAGAAAAGTTAAACGCGAATCATTTGTAAATAACGTACCCATATAACATGGGGTCTTACAAGCGAGTTATGCGAGAATACTCCTACAACGCGTTAACTATAACGCGGAACCAATCTACCGTGATATAGGAGGGATTACCTTATTATATCGCTATTTCTTGACTTATTCTAGTTTGTTTAAAATATCTTATTAACCTTTCCCATAGTTTTATTTAATAACCATTCAACCTTTCGAACAACCTTTCGAAGCGTACAAAGATGCATTACTCATATTATGTCAAGTCCTTGACCTGGTATTGGTCCTTTCAGGTCAAGGTATAAGGATATCAAAGTGCCAATCATAAGTGCCTTACATACATTATCCTCAAAAAACCGTATAACCATCATGATTTGCATAATGCTAAGATGTTTTAACAAAAAGCTTTGCCTTTCGAAACAATTGTATTTCTTTTACAGGAAAGCCATGATCGTATTATAAATGGTTTTCTTATTTGTAGCGTCAATTCGCAACCTAAGTTTTCCTTCTAGATTGACGTATT